TGAGAAAATGGTGAATAAAAGCGAATTAAAATAAGATAAAAGAAAAGAAAATGATGGTAGTGAAGTGCTGATCAATTACTCATCCTCCGATGTGTCTGCTGCGAACTGGTGCTGCTCCTGTAGGAAGGTGACAACGCGCTCAAAGCGTCGTCCCTGTCTCTCAACTCTGCGCTCCAGATCAGAATGTGTGTGCGCAGATGTCGATGATGAGGTGTGGCCGGTCGAAACAGATGGCTGAAAGTGAGCACGGGCCGCAGCTGCGTCACGCTTTGCCTTGGCCACTATGTATTGGCCAATGGTGAATGGTAGACGAGGTACAGATGGCAGAAAATCATCGGGTTTCGGAGTCCATCGCGGACGTCCTCCGTTACACAATCTCGGGACTGATGGTGAAGGCAAGCTGACTCGGTGCTCCTCAGTGCCAGTGCAATACTTGTAACCAAACCTGTCTGGATCGAAAACGGCATGAGAGATAATGTGATCGCGAGAGAGATAAAGTAGGTCATACCAGACATCGGGAAGTGAATCATCAGATGAAAAATCGAATCCTACAGCCTGTAGTATCGCTGTAATAGCACTCCCGTAAGCTGGAGTAGCGTCCTCGCAACCATGTAAATCATGCTTCACCTTTACCATGTTTTGTGCTATGTTCCAGGCAAAGCAGGCAAGTCGTGGGTCGTCCATAAATGGCATCTGAAGTGTAATGAGCTCGGTCTTCAAAACACATCCCATGTTGGCTCTAGAGAAAATTGTGTGTGCTCAGAGTTTGTGTACAACTCTCACTACTGGATGAGTAAGAAGGGCTGACTTGGATCTCCCGCTATCATAGACTCCATGACCCATCTCTCTCCACAAGTTAAAATCGGGTTCATCTTCAAGGTAAATGCCATCGGTGTATGGAAGCTTAAGAGCCTCACAAAGTTCAGAAATGGTGAGCGAGTAAGGCTGTCCGCGGATAGAGAATGACAAGATGCCATCTGATGCTCTGGGGTTCCTCCTCTTTGTGTGGTGGAGTGTAATAGTTGCTAAGAACTCGCAGACTAGCTCAGGATAAGTCGGAAGGTTCAGCTCCATGTAGGGTCTCAGCTTAAGTGCATCTATGTACCAAATTACATCTTCTCTGATTCCAAGCATCTCAAGTGTATGATAATCAATGCAAGGCGTGGGTTTGATGTTCAGCTTCTTGAAACGTCTTGCATAGTCCACTCTTGGGTTTATCTCCTTGCCAATGTATCGAATCTGTGGTGGCTCAGGAGCTGCTCGTGTTTCTCTTGAGTGCTGGAGCAATCTCATTACATAGTTTCTTCTTCTCGGTCTGGCTTGGTTCAGCATGTACTCTCCTAGAGTAGCATCATCGGGAATGTCCTCAGAGCTGTCACCAGTGCGACGGCTTCTTCGGGATCTGGTTTGTTCCATTTTTTCTGCAAAACGAAATGATTCTTGGAAAAATTGTGAATATAGATGCTGATTTTAACACATTAAGATCAGTTATACTAATACTAGTATAAAGAGATTAATTAAAACCATGAGCAAGTAGAATTGACATTAAATCAAAGAAATCGAGTAGTTCATGACTAGATTCGGATTTTTGATGTTCTCAACATAGAAATCTTCCAAAAATCAGTTTTAATGAGCAATTTCCATGTCAAACCTATAGGTTACCTAATACTAATCACTAATCACACAAGACTTAATCAGATTCATCAATTTTGTTGTTCCAAATTCGATTTTTATAAAGCATGTAGAATCCAAATTTCAAAAATCTCAATTCCTCTTGAGCTAGGTGTTAAAATCGATTTTTAGATAACCTAAAAGGATAATCTATTGTTCTTAAGCTATTTCTACCATCAATAAATCAAGATTTGTGCTTTTTAAGAAAACCATAAGTTCTAAAATCAAGTAAAAATGGAGAGTTTGAGCTTCATACATTGCTGGAAAGAGAGATTTGATGACAGAATTGAAATCAGCTTTGAAAAAAAGTGAGGTTTGGGCCAAGAATCTCTTAGAAAGCTCAAGAATTGAAAAAAAATGTTCTATCTCCTAAATCTCCAAGTCTTTTGGAAGAGAAGAGAAGAAGGAGTTTTGATCCAAAAAGTGCATTTCCTTTCTTTAAAAAACGTTTTTGCTGTTTTTGTAGCAAAAACGGAAAATTTCCGGGAATTTTTAAGTTTACGGGAACTTACCTTTCTTGTCTTGCACGTAAAAGAGGTTTAAAACTTACGGAAAATTTTAACGTGCTTTACCGGGAATGCTCCGGAAATCACCGGGAATTTTGGGAACTTTCAAAAAACGGTGGAAATCCGCATCGTCACCTCAACGACCAACAGCCGCGGTCAGGAGACTGGCGACCGCGGCGATTGAAGGCTCGGCCGCGGTCACATTCACGGTGCCGCGGTCGATCCACCCTTGGCCGCGGGTCGGTTGGTCGCGACCGCGGCTCTTTCAGCTGCGGCCTTTGTCCAACTTCTGGTCTTTGCCGGGCCGAGCAGCTAAAAACCTACCCTTTTCTTCTTGGTTTTTCTAATTTTCTGATTTTTTTTTGTGTTTTTTGTCTTATAAAATACCTGAAACTTGAAAGAAAAAGAAAGCATAAATTGTAAAAAGGAAAAGGAAACTAAAAGAAAAAGTACCTAAATGGGTTGCCTCCCATTAAGCGCTTTTGTTTTAAGTCGTTAGCTCGACGTAAGCATGAAAAATCAGGCTGATTTGAATGGCACTCCACTTGATGTGCCCTTATCACTCCCGGTCGCTGGAGGTTTTACTTCTTCTCCTTGAGGAGCCGTCTTCTTTCCTTTACTCTTCTTTCGGACTTTAACATTATTTAAAACCCTTTTTTGTTTTCGATTAGCTCCTGGATTTGGTTCTCACTAGTTTCTGTTGCATCTGGTGGAATGATGATCTTGATCTTCGCAAAAGCTTTCGGCTTCTCTTTTTCTTTCTCTTTGGGCCTGTTTCCCTTGCCTGGAAAATCGTCTAAGATAGTCGGGTAGTACCTTCTGCGATCCACATTGAGGAAAACAGCATGCCAGTTTGCGTGATCGATTACTGCTCCTACGGTAGCTAGGAATGGTCTCCCAAAAATGAGTGGCCTCTCCTTGTCTTTATCCATCTCCAGGACTTGGAAATCTGCTGGAACAATCTTGTCTCCCACTAGAACTTGTAGATCATGAATCGCCCCTTCAGTATCTTTTTAAGATGAATCTCCAAAAATAACCTAAACTGTCGATGTCCTTAAGGTTTTTATGCCCAATTTTTCGGCAAATGTCTTTGACATGATGTTGACATTGGCTCCGGAATCGCACAGGCAGTCTGTGAAACTGATTCCTGAAATGAAACATTGGAAAACAAAACGTCCCGGATCGTCGACTTTTGTAAGCCTTTGAAACGGTGATCGTTCATGTACCTTAAATGGTGGCTGCTTGGCATCGACATCCTTGTACAGTGGTACAAAGATTGGAGTTTCTTCTTCCTTTCCATCGGTTCTGGCCTCTTCTTCGGGCAATGTGGTTATGGCGTTGCAAAACCTCTTAGGGTTATCTTCAACTCTTCCTGGAAGAACTCCACTTTGCCTCTTCATAGAGTCGGCTGTTTGGGCGACTTGCACGTCTAGCTTTTTGACGTGCGAAGATAAAGCTTCAAACTTCCCGTTCAGATCATTGTACATGCAGTCAACTTTCACGTTCACGTCTTTAGATGTTTTTTCGTTTGTCATAACGAGCTGTTGGATGGACAGTTCAAGTCTACCGATTTGTGAAGCTAGCTGGTTCGTCGTGACTCCCTGCTGTTGTACAAATTGATTGTTAAAACCCGTACCTTGGTAGTTATACGGCTGTCGTGGTTGATAAGCTCCTGTCCCTCCGAAGTTTCCACCTTGGAACTTGTTTTGGAAGGATTTTTGCTGAGGTGGGTAGTACTGATCTTGAGAATTCTCCACATTTGGATTGCGTTAAGAGAGATTGTTGTAATTTGCATTCTGGAAGTTGTTGTTGAAGCCATTGTTGAAGCGATTTTGATATGGTACTAGCGCTCCTACATAGTTCACATCTTCTTCTTGAAATGCTTACTTAATGTGAACAATATCACTAGGTCCTTCATCTTCTGCGCCATTGTTGGTCTCACAAGCATGGATTGGGCGATTGTTGCTCTTCAAAAGCTGGCTCATCATTGTTGGAGGTGAAAACCGCACCCCCGGTTTTCTTCGGTACAAACCAAAATCAGCACGACGTAAGCCCGGTTTACGAAGGGAATGTACCGGGAATATTGGGCCGAGTGAACTCTTGGGCCGAACGTAGCCCGACAAGCCGAAGTCGGTCAGAAACTTCTCAAAGGAACCGAGAAGTTCTTTGAGTTCGGAGGAAAATGGAAAGTTTCCGAGTAGAAAAAGGAAATTTATGAGAAAAGGAAAAAGACCAAGAGAAAAGGAAAGTCTTCTCGGTCCCATATCGCAGAGGAGACTCACGAAGACCGACTTAGAAGACATATATAAAGGAAGAGGAATCGACACCAGAAGATACAAGAAATTCCCGAGAGACTTGGAGATTGAGAGCTCAAGGCATTCATTAGCTTCTTAATTTCCTAAGTCTTAGTTCGTTTATCATTTACATAGACGAACTCAGTTGTATTCTCGACTGATCTAATAAAATCCGAATTTTCGATCTAAGTTACTGTTTTGTCCCTTGTCGATATACACATATCAACAATTTGCGCGCCAAGTAGGGGGACTTAACAGAATATTCAGTTTTAGATCGGATTTCAGAGAGATCGAGTCAACTATGACAGACCAAGCTAAGGTCCATGAGGAAGAAAACCCTCTCGGCCAAGAGAACGGCAACATCTAAGCCCCCGCGGAACAGGCAGGAGGAACCACTGGAGAAACCGCTGGAGCAGAAGCCGACCAGACTCCCGCAGCCATAGGAGGTTTTGGAACTGAACTACTGCTCCAAGTGTTCAACGCTCAGTTCGAAGCTATCCACAAAAGGAGCGAAGAACGCTTCAGTCAGATGGCGGCACAGATCGCCGAGCTCAGTCAAGCACGGACTCCCCTTCGAGTTCGGAACATCATTGACGACCTCAATACTGATGGCGACCCAGCCGGAACCATGCGATCCACTGCTGTCGGATCAGCAAACGCTCCAGCACCACCAGATCTAAGTCATGATGCCGAGTTCAAAGCAATGAAGGCACAACTTCACGAGATCACTTCGAAAATTCACCAAGCAACGAGCGCAGCCCCGGAGATCGAGCGCGTCATTCAGGAAACACAAAAGACACCCTTTACACCGCGCATAGCGGGAACACCTGTCAAACACATGGAGAAACTCAAGATCAAGATCTACGAAGGCAATACCGATCCCCGGCATTTTTTGACATCGTTTGGAATCTGCATGAATCGATACCAGTTCAAGTATGCCGAAGAGAGGGACGCGGTCCAGTGCCAGCTGTTTGTCGAGAGCCTAGGAGGAATAGCTCTCGACTGGTTCTCACGACTCAAGGCGAACTCAATAAATAACTACAAAGAACTGACGACGGCCTTTGTTAAACATTTCTCGATGTTCAACGGACAGAACACCAAGAACTCCGCGCTGTGGCAGATAGCCCAAGGAGCAAGCGAGAGCCTCCGTGACTTCATCCAACGCTTTAAGACGATCGTCGCCAACTGCACGATCAGCGACGAAGCTGCTCTCTTATGTCTCCAGAAAGGAGCTCGAATAAAAACAAGCTTCCGGAGCGCGATCACACACAACCCCCCGCAGACCTTGGAGGAAGCATTACACCGAACTAATACTTACATCGCCGAAGAAGAAGAAGAGGCAGCCTATGAGCAGAACTATTCGGCAAAGCAAGCCGAACGTCCAAAGGCCGCCACTAATGAACCACAATCAGGCTATAGCAGAGGGTATGAGAATCGCAAGAAGTTCTACGCTAATGCCATCCAGCAACCGACCAAACAGTGGAGTAATAAGTGGGTCCGCAGTGAAGAAGATCAAGACGAGTCGTTGATCTGCGAATTCCATAACCGTAAAGGACATAGCACCAAAGACTACAGACATCTACGGGAATACCTGCTCGCGCAGTATCGAAAAGGACAAATCTCGCTCGACGATCTCCGTCATTCAACCGCTCAAAGAAGCAAGTCACCTCGACCGAATAACATACCACCCGAGAACGCCATCGCCAAAGATCCACCAGCTCCACCAGCTTTACCAGCTCTACCGCCACCTCCACCGAATCAACCTGGTTTACCCGAGCAACCGAAACGCAACCGTGACGACCGTGCGCCAGAAAACCACACTCCCAAAGCAAGGAAGCGCGTCAATATGATTATGGGAGCTATAGAAGCCTGCAGCTATTCGGTTCGGGCCATCAAGGAATACAGTAGACAGGCCGCCACCGCGCCTAAACTCCTGCACGATCCGCCGAATAGAACCCCTTTGATATTCACCGAAGCCGACACAATCGGGTTGCACAAACCACACAATGACGCCCTCGTCGTCGAACTTCTTCTCGACGATGTCGAAGTTAGTCGTATTCTTATCGATACAGGCAGCTCGGTTAACATTATCTTCAAAGACGCGCTTGATCAGCTCGATATACCATTAGACAAAATTGAGCCCTTTATCGAACCACTCACGGGGTTCGATGGCGAACGCTGCATGACGGTCGGCACAGTCAAAATCCTGATCTACCTCGCTAGAGTTGCGAAGATCATCCAGTTCCTCATCCTTGACAAACCAGCGATCTACAACGCTATTCTCGGCACACCGTGACTACACGCGATGAAGGCAGTTGCCTCTACGGTGTTTACACTCTCCGAGGTAACCAAGCTGCGATCGTGCTACATAAGTGAATGCAAGCTTCGTTCGGCCAACCAAGCCTGCGTCATCAGTTCGCAAGGTCCAACGACCGAGCTCATTGTCCAAAAAACAAAACCCAAGCAAGAGTCGATTACCCAAGTCTGCATCGACGAACTAAGGCCAGAACGCCAAGTCGGCATCGGTGCCAAACTAGACCCAAGTATCCGCGATACACTCGTTCACTTCCTGAAGCAACACTCATCCACCTTCGCATGGTCGGTAGAAGATATGCCCAGGATTATCCACAAATCGCTTGTCACGAGCTCAACATCGACCCAACGTATAAGCCGATCAAGCAGAAACACCGAAAACTCGGACCAGAGAAGGCACAAGCCGTCAACGATGAGGTCAAGCGGTTACTCAAAGCAGGATCCATCACTGAGGTTAAGTACCCTGATTGGCTAGCAAATCCCGTGGTTGTAAAAAAGAAGAACGATAAATAGAGGATTTGCGTCGACTTCACCGACCTCAATAAAGCATGTCCGAAAGACAGCTTTCCTTTGCCTCATATCGACCGCTTCGTGGAAGCAACTGCTGGAAACAAACTACTCTCGTTTATGGACGCATTCTCCGAGTACAGCCAGATTTATATGCATCCACAAGATCGGGAAAATACATCGTTTATCACGGACCGCGGCATATACTGCTATAATGTCTTGCCCTTTGGTTTGAAGAACGCTGGAGCAACGTACCAACGCCTGGTCAACCGAATGTTCGCAAGCCAACTCGGGCAAACTATGGAAGTCTACATTGACGACATGCTCAATAAGTCGCTCGTCGTTTCCGATCATGTCGGCCATCTTCGCACATGCTTCGATATTCTAGACCAATATGGCATGAAGCCCAATCCCACTAAGTGCACGTTCGGCGTAACGTCCGGTGAATTCCTCGGATACATAGTCACACAGCGCGGTATTGAAGCTAATCCGAAGCAGATCGCAGCTATACTCGATATCCCGTCTCCGACAACCAAACGAGAAGTCTAGCGACTAACCGGACGCATTGCAGCACTTAATCGATTCATATCCAGATTGACAGACAAGTGCTTGCCGTTCTACCAACTTCCGCGGTAACAAGCATCTGGAATGGAACGAGAAGTGCGAAGAAGCTTTTTCCGAGCTTAAGAAATACTTTTTCCGAGCTTAAGAAATACTTGTCTACGAGAAGTGTGAGATGCTCTACCTTTCTATCGCGATCTCGGAGTACGCGGTCAGCAGTGTCCTTGTTCGAGAAGACCGTGGCGAACAGAAGCCAATTTTCTACACGAGTGAGTCCCTCGATAAATTGGAATTCCGTTACCCAACCTTGGAGAAATTCGCCTTCGCCGTGGTTATCTCCGCATGAAAGTTACGTCTGTACTTTCAGTCGCACTCGATCGTTGTCTTAACCGACCATCCTCTCCGCACCTTCCTTCACAGCCCAAGTCAATCCGACCGACTCGCCAAATGGGCCATTGAGCTTAGTGAATACGATATCGAGTACCAAGGAAGAACCGCGATGAAATCCCAAGTCTTGGCGGACTTTTTGATCGAACTCCCACCCGAGCTCGTCGATGCTAACCCGACCATACAACCATGGATCCTTCATGCCGATGGTTCCTCTTCCCATAAAGGATCCGGCGTCGGAATATGTCTAAAATATCCCAAAGGTGAAATCATCGAGCAATCGTTCCGCCTCGGCTTTCCGACATCTAACAACGAAGCCGAATTTGAAGCGCTAATTGCCGGACTACGACTCGCCAAAGGAATCGGTGCCGAACATGTCCACGCCTACTGGGACTCTCAACTCGTAGCTAATCAGTTTCACGGCGAATACGAAGCTAAGAATGATCGCATGGACGCATACCTCAAAGTCCTCAAAGATATTGCTTCAGAATTCTCCACCTTTGAGCTCACGAAAATACCGCGTGACGAGAACGCAACCGCTGACGCTTTAGCCGCCCTTGCGACTAACTCAGATCCCGATCTCCAGCGAACAATCCCAGTCGCGGCAATCGAACGACCTAGTATCGAGCCCGCTCCGAGCTGCAACATTGTTACAGCTCGATATGTGGTTATTAAAGGCACTCTCCTTAGATGGGACGCGTCCGGCGTACTTTTAACTTGTGTTCACGGCAATGACATCAAGGAAATTATGCAGAAAGTACACGAAGGAGAAGGAGGAAATCACTCTGGAGCTCGATCCTTTAGCATTCAAGATCAAAAAAGCCGGCTATTATTGGCCAAATATGCTCTCTGACTGTGAAAAGTATACCGCGCGATGCGAGAAGTGCCAACGTCATGGCCTGATGATCAATCTTCCTACCGAACTACTGATGACCTCGACCGCACCATATCCTTTCATGCGTTGGGCAATGGACATCATCGGTCCATTTCGCCGATCTACAACCCAGAAGCAATATGTTCTGGTCGTCACCGACTATTTCACTAAGTGGGTCGAAGCCGAGGCATATCCCGTGATACACGGCATCGACGTCAAAAAGTTCATCTGGAAATTCATCATCTGCCGACACGGCATCCCGTATGAGATTGTCACAGATAACGGGACTCAGTTCACTTCAATAATTTTCACAGATTTTTGCGCCACGTGGAAAATCCGCCTAAGTTTCTCTACACTGCGATATCCACAAGGAAACGGGCAAGCCGAAGCCACGAACAAAACCATTATCGATGGTGTAAAGAAGCGACTGGATACGGCTAAGGGAACTTGGGCGGACGAACTCGATGGCGTCTTATGATCTCATTGAACTACACCACGACGTTCTACCAGTCAATCACCTTTTTTCCTCGCGTACGGTACAGAAGCTATGTGCCTAGCCGAACTCAACGTTCCTAGTATTCGCCAAACCATGCTCACTCAGCAACCCGACGCGAATAATGACATGATGCTCGACACAATTGACTTAGTCGAAGAACACCGAGAACGAGCATTACTCCGGATACAAAACTACCAACAACTGGCAGCTTGCTACTACAACAAGAAGGTAAAAGGCCGTCACTTTGAAGATGGCGATCTCGTACTTCGCAAAGTTTACCAGAACACAGAAGAAAAGAACGCTGGAAAGCTCGGCGCGAACTGGGAAGGACCATACCAAGTAATGAAAGTTGTTAAACCCGGCGTTTATCAACTCATGAAGCTCGACGGAACTCCGATCCCGCGATCCTGGAACTCAATGCATCTCAAACGATACTACTACTAGATCGTCATCTGATAAATAAATAAAAAAGCCTCCGAACTACTAAGTTCGGAGCAAAACCTTTTTGTACTTAGAACTACGAATGGCTTGATCCCTTCTAAAGGGTACGTAGGCAGCTCGTTATTGAGTCCAGCTATAACATCAATAAAATTATATTAAGTAAAAACGCCTAAGTTTTAGTTCGGTACTCACGAGATACCAAACTCTTATTTTTCTAACATCGACTTCCTGGCCAGTTGTTCGATAGCATTCCACATGAATGCAGACTTAAAAAGACGAGATCCGTCTCGCGAACACCCACATGGTGCCGTGGTAAAAACCACGTTAAAAAGTCGGGGCCAGTCCCGCAATAAAAAATTCTAAGTCACCAAAAACAATAAGCCGAGCTCATCTCGCATACTTAGGTTTGACTTAGAAAACCTTGAGCTTGTCTCGTGCGCTTACAGGAGTTCGATCAAACTCACTCTTCCAGTATGATACGACTTACTTGGGTTTCCCAGGCCGAGCTCAAATGCTTGCACAACAAGCCAAACTCCTCAGATTCGCACTATAAGCCAAGTTCTCAACACTTGCACATATAAGCCGAATTAACGCAATTCGCTACCAAAAGATAAAATTACGTTCGAACACCACTTACTAAATACCGATGTACTACTTAAGAAAAAATTAAGAAAAAGATACTTCCGCAAATAGAATGAAAAAGCATATCATAGAGGCAAATAAGTTTAAAAACCCACCGAGGGTTCAGAAATAAACAAAATATTACAAAAACATATAAAATAACAATTGAGTTCGACTTAAAAGAGAAAAGAGTACACAGTCTTAGAAGTTGCGGTTTGAACCGCATTGAGTATCTCATCATTTGAGCCGAACTGCTCGACTCTCGCCGGATCCTGTGCACTTTGAGTCACGTTCCCAGCCGTGGCATCGTCATCCTCTTCCGGAAACGAAGACATTCGTTTATCTTCCTCCGTAAGGACGCAAGCATCAACCGAACAAAAGTCTTGTAGCGCCTTAGCATGCTTCGTCTCGATCTCGGCCACCATCTCGGGTGGAACTTCATACAAACCTTTCTTCTTAAGCTGTTTGATGAAGCCGAGAACTCCGGTAAGCTCGTTGACCACCAGGTAAGGCTTATGAGCCCGATCAGCATCATCCAGGCTTCGGATGACCTTCTCCAAGCGTTCGCAGGCTTTCGCGTGAATGCTTTTTGCGCGACCTTTCCAATGCGCCACTAAACCCTGAAATCGCTCCTCATCTTTCTCGAATTCCCGAGAAAGCAAGGTCTGAGCTTCGGTCTGTTCGGCTCTCACTGCCTTAAGCTCCGAACTCTCCTGCTTCAGCAAGTCGACAGCAGTATGAAGACTATCGTTTATTTGGAGCTCGGTGGCAAGATGTTCCTCAGCCTTAGAAATACGCGCTTCCAACTCCGCGACCCTCACCCGTTCATCGTACAGAGCAACCTCATATGCCGCAACCAAATTGTTGGTCTGGCTGGCGAGCTGCGAAAAAGAGAATTAAATCAGAACTCAAACTTAGGGAAAGAAGTAAAATAAAGAAAAAAATGGAATCAGGAAATTACCACGGCAGTTGTACGCGCGATCCCTTTGTACAGGTTAGGGAACCGAAGCTCGGAGATCGCCGGGAGACTCGGGACCTCAGTGGAGATCTTGTGGTAGAGGTCGGCGCAGGCGTCGACGTTCTCCTCAAAAGGACC